ATATTATTTAATCTTTCTGTGGAGAACCAGGAGGTGGGGGAGGGAGGAATATATTTACACTGTCACGATGGCATTAGGACAGCTTTAAAGAAAGTGGCTTGAATATTGCAGCCAAAATCTTTCTGTGCCAACATAAATACTGTCTTATAGAAAAATATGAATAGTATAGAACATATGGGAAAACGAAAGGTCATCAACTTGCTTGAAATGTTTAAAAAGTAGTCTCAGAAGAAACAGGAAATTTGGATGGACTTTGTCTATTTATGACAAGATAGATATAAAATTAACTTCTGAAAAACATTTTTTCCCATCTTTGATGCAAACCTGTCAAAATAAGCGCAACACCTTTTGTCACAAACTTTTCAAAACAAGTAAAATGGTGTGATTGGTGCCATCTCATAAAATTTTGTGCAGCCTTCATATGACATAGTGATAATCAGGAAAACTAATATACAGAGAGAGAAGGAAGCTGAGAAATGAAAGATGCTGAAAGTCCTGAATGGGACTGCCACAAAACCAAGAGAATATTACTGTGTATCTGAGTGTTTGAAATGGCTCATCGTAATCTGCTGCTTTTCTCGTGAGATGCATCGCATGACAAATGACAAGACGTGGCCTTATGAAATTTCAGTTTGAAGCCATTTTCATACCGCAAATGCAAATTAGACATAATATGTGCCTTTTGTCAACCACATTTTTCGGTAATCTAATTGTATCACACTAATGAGACCTGGGTTAGGAAATGCACTCAGATTCCTATGCCCCAGGTCAGAGGAGATCGAGAATGCTGCACAGCAGATGCACTTAATCTCAAGGGGACGGCAGCTGCATCATCACTTGGGCAAGCCAAGCAGCTCTGGCTGTGGAGGGAGCCACAAAGCAAAGGGCCACTGTGCTGGCCAGCAGCACAAACAGTGGGATACTATAAAACAAGAGAGGGAGGTTTGTGTTTGTGTTCCCCACTTCTTTTGCCTCCCATTGTGATTTGCTAAATCAAAGGGAGAAGTTCCAGCTTCCTGACCACCAGGATAAGTCTTGCTTATCCTTGCTCACACCCAGGCCTGTCTTCTTTGCCCTCAGAGCTGATTTTGGTGGCATGAGGGTGTACTGGATGCAGGATTCAGACAGTCACATGTCCATCTGTGGGTAGACATTGCTAGAAGTGAATGGAGATAAAGCGCAATATTAGTGACGGGGTTGAGCTATCGTTTCAATTCTGCTTACAACTTCAAATGAAGTGATTGGTGCCTTAATATCAACACTTAAAGTTCTAGCATGGAAGCAGCCTCAATCGGCAATACTCTGCATGCTTCCTAAGGAATAATCCCCAGTAGCTTATAGTGCTTACGTCGGAGTGAACCATACATATAGGATCAGCTTTAAGAAATGTAGCCTAAGATGGTAAATTTGAAAAAGTGATAATTGCGAAGCCAAAGCAAGATGAGCTTGATGTTTTCTCTGCCTGGCAGATGAGTATTGGGTTGCACATTAACAATCTCACAGAATTGATGAATAGTTGTTGAAGAGGGCTATTCTGTCCCTGCCTGCTAAACTTGTATGGTTCTCTGGCACTTGCAAAAGGGGTCTGTGTGGAAACACAGGACAGGAGCAAGGAGATTGGGCGTTTAATGTGAACATCAATATTCAGGTTGCTGCTGCCAAAGTGGTTCAGTAGGATCAGCTGTGTAACACTATCTAAGGTCTTCCCTACAGGTGAGGATGAAGATTCCTGTTTGGAATTGTAACATATCTAAAAGCATCTAAAACAATTCCATATATAAAAAAACACATTTTCATTTTATTATTTTGCCACTGATGTGTTTGCCACCCTGGACTCCTTTGAAAGGAAGGGTGGGATATAGATTTAATAAGCAATAACGAGAATTTATATCATGCAGTTTCAAACATATTATTCCACTCCCTCTTCTGGAATTATAAACCTTTCTTTTATTATATTTTATTTATATCAAAGAATTTATAAACTGCTTAAGAAATATAAAACTATACACACACATACCCAGCTAGCAAAATATTTCTTTACAAACCACAAATCTCTATGAATTTAACTGGTTGATAGGCTTGAAATCTTATATTTTATGCTCTCTATTAAATGTATGGAGAGGACTGACGCATATCAGCAGAGAAAGATAAGGGTGGTGAGTCTACCAGTTTGTGACTGTCTATTTTATAGCATGTCTTAGAAACGTTAGTGCTTTATTTTCTGGATGGCTTAGCCAAAATCTTTGTTCCTATATTGTTTCTACGAGCAATGTTCCCCCTCCCATGGTTTGTTTTCTGGGCAGATTACAAGGACTCTGGTGCCGTAGGTTCATCATGAGTGTGTTGCACAATGAGTATCAGCTGCTGTCGAGAAGATTATTTTTGGCTCTGGATTTTGGTATTTCTTTTTTAGAGAATTAATGAGTCCCTTTGTTTCCTTCTCCCTTCTTTTATATATACAAGGAATGATTATCTTGCCCATGTTGATTTTTCTCAAGATGTATACTGCAGGCTTTTTAACAAGGTCACTTACTACTAGCTAGCTAAGCGCAAGGACAGCTAGCTATTCTGTTCCATTCAGCTATTCTTACTATAGACGTGTGTGTGTGTGTGTGTGTGTGTGTGTGTAGATGAGGCCTATTGGTCAGGCCAAAAGCCCATCTATCCCAGCATCCTGTTCTCACAGTAGCCAGCCAAATGTGCATGGGAAGCTCACAAACAAAACCTGAGCACAACAGCACACATCCCACCAGTGATTCCCAACAACTGATATTGTAATTGTATTATATGTGGTAGCGTACACTGGTATTATAACTGCTATTATACATTATGGGATACCTACAGTGTGGGGGGGGGGAGTATTTGATCCCCTGCTAAATTTGCCTGTTTGCCCTCTGACAAAAAAAAATGTCCAGTCCATAATTTTAATGGTAGGTTTATTGTAGCTGTGAGAGACAGAATAACAACAGGAAAACCCCCAGAAACCCAGAAGACAAAAGTCAGAGATTGATGTGCATTATAATGAGTGAAATAAGTATTTGATCCCTAGCGCAGCCTCCCCTATGCTGAAGCTATTGTTATACACCCTTGTGGCAGTCTGTTTGTGACAGGTTATGCATGTACCCCCACCACCACAACACCCATTTTGTGACTGACATCCAAAATTCAGTATGTGCCCATTGGTCTCAAAAGGCTGGCATACCCCTAACAGATGACAAAGGCTGGAGGCCTTGTGAAAGGGTAATAAGGCTTCCCCTACATGTTCCTCTCTTTGAGTTGGTCATCTGTACTCATCCATACTATCTATATGCTGTGCTTGAAAGAGGATTTTAAGAATAATCTTATCTGCTGAATGGGTTCTTTGTATTTGATGAGCACCAACTAGATTCTTTCGTTAGTACATTGCCATGAAACATCACTTTTGCACAAAAAATAGAGTTGGACATTTGTTTTGCAAAAGACTGAGGTTCAGGGTGTATTTTCTTGAAAGTTTATGCTGAAATTCCTGGGAGCCATTGGGTTATTCTAATGCTGTAAACACTTAAATACTCAACTCATAGGCTTGCTCTTTTAGCTTGCATTGCTATGTTTCACTATCAGACTATGTGTCGTCTTTTTCTTTTTTTGCTTTGCTGCACTCTATGGAAGCAGCCGCGATATCACAGCTTTCTGATTAACTAAACAACTAATAAATGAAAAGACTTAGTAACTCGCCATCAGCCTTGTGTAAATATGAAAAGCTTATTTTTCTTCACTAATAGATACACATAACAATGAAATGTTTCCAGTAACTTATAAAGGAATGACCGAGGAAAAGGCTTCAGAAATGCTCTTTTACAATGACCGCACACCGTGTCGACTGCAATATTTGTGACATGTTTGCATTGTTATTTGGCTGCAAACAGAATGAAAAGATCTGTCTTCAGAATTTAAACAGTAAGATTGTTTCAGTTTATATAACCAATCTAAGTCCCAGGACAGTAAAAATCAACAAGCTTGAAGAGACCCCACAGCTAAACAAAGCCGGGGATGATTTTGAGCAGGGGCAGATTAATTGTTGAAAAGCAACCTCTGGCTCCTGTTGGAATTTTTGGAGGATATAATGGAAGTTTGTGTCCGGGTATGTCTGTGTGAAAGAAGCATAAGTAAGAAGATTGGTGCAGGCAATATTTCTGTGCTGTTGAAAGGAACACAAACACACTTTAACAAATACCGGTAACAATAATATTGTTCCATGCCTCCCCAATCTCTGAATGGTCTGAGAGTCTAGGGGGTCCAGGATCTTACCCAGAGTTTATATTCCCTTTTGGGAATGTGGCACAGTGGGGACTGTGGTGTCTTCAGTATATATGTTTTATTTACATATATATACAACCTGAGCCTATGATAGAGGGGTTCCCAGCATCAACACCCCAAAAGATTCTTGTTTCTCCCAGAGCCACAGCCTTGGATTCAAGCAGAGATCTGGCATGGCTCACTCTCTCCGCTTGCTGTTTCTAGGTCACATCACTGCTGTAACACTCTCTCCCCTAAACCCTCGTTTTATTTGTTGAAGGTGGGGCACCACCCATTTGCTGTCTCCCACCAAGCCCCTTAATCTCTCTTAATGGTTCATTGTCCAAGCTATCACTCCAACTGGAAGCTAGCCCAGTTTATCTAAGAATTAGAAGACTTGGTTATAAAACCTGCTGGATCTAGAGATTAGATGAGTCTGGCACACATCTTAACACCCCAGACTTTTAACAATATAACAATATGTTTACCAAAAAAAATGACAAGGGTTTTTTACATAATAACTTGATTTGGTCCTTTGTTATGCAAAGTTGTTTTACTTAGATTGACTCCAAGCACATCATTTATACCAGCCTGCCCCAATTTAGTGTTGTTGGACTTCAGTTCCCCTAACCATTAACCATAGTTGCCTGGGCTTCATAGAATGATAGAGTTGGAAGGAACTGAGTGTCAACTAGTCCAAACCCTGCAATACAGGAATATGCAGCTGTTGCTTACGAGGATCCAACTTGCAACCTTAGTGTTATCAGCACCATCCTCTAACCAACTGAGCTATCCATGAAAAGGTGGAAACTGGAGTCCAGCAACATCCGGGAGTACCTGACTGGGGAAGGCTGGTTTATACATTTCTCTCTCTCCTCACCCACTGTGATCACAGCCAATCACAACTGAACTGGTCGTGGAGATTGATCTACTCCCCAACTACAGTAGCAGATCATCTCCAAACATGACACAACTTGTTCAAATTAAATTTGAGCATCAGTGTATTTCTTTTAAATTGCCCTTATTATGTTTGCTACATTTGACTCTTATGCAGTTCACAGAAACTTTCCACAGGAATGCTATTTCTCTGAGTAAGACTTTAAAAACTTTATATAGCATGTTATTACGGTAAAAAAAGTAGTTCACCAAAAATTCAGGAGAAGCTCCTGGAACTTCGTTATTTTTATCTCCTTAGGAATAACCTCCCCCACATCCTATTATAGATATGGAGTTGTGTGTACTTGTGGAGGGAGAGCTCACAAAGACCGAAGTGATAAGCAACAACCTACATGAATAGATAAACTGGCAAGAGGGCTCCCTGTAAAACAAATAAGTCTCTTTTTCCTGTGATTTTCATAATCATGAATCAGCTATAGAACATGGAAATAGAACAGCAGTTTCCAAGGAATATAGTCATCTGGATCCCCATCGTGGTGATTTTTGTTCAGATGTTTTATGTCAGAGAGCAAGTACAGGGTCTGAAGTTATAAACTTGCAAATATTTGCCATCTGGTGGTTATCTGTGTTCAAAAAAGAAACAAGCAAACATGGTGCAGGTGGCGATGGTGGGGATTAATGCTCTACATTATTTTGTGCCATTCCTGTTTGACTCCATTTTCTAGTGAAGAAAGAGAACCTTTTCCATCCCATTAGCTCCCCAGAAAAAAACCCAAACTGTAAGATGCTTATTTTATACAGCACTAAAACAGCACTAAAAACATATATACACTTAAAATAAGCCCCTCAACCATGTAACATGGAAGGCTGCAGGAAGCCTAATCTTGCAATCAATTTAAAACTTATAATAAATCAATTAAAATAGAAAGGCAGTCTCTGCTGGTAAAGTAGAAAGAAAAGAAAGATTTTGTACTTCGGGCAGTGGAAACAAAAGCTTAGTACAGGACCCTGATGTGGGTTTGTTTGGGATTACACTCAGTTCAAGGTTAGCATTGTCTGTTGCCCCCAAATCTTGCAATCTCAGCCCATGAAGTTTTATATAAACAGGCATTCACAAGAAGCCATAAATGTCCATTGGTCTTAGGCCCATAAAAAAAAGTTACCCAAAACATTTTCATCACTTGGAAAAGAAGCTGGTTGGCCACTGTAGGAACAGAATGCTGGACTATTTAGATGCTTATGACATTATTGGTCTACAATGTACTGTATGCGCAACGATGATAATAGACCAACTTTTTTATATGGCAAATTATATACTTAGGCATTTGCTATACTCGCGGGGCATAATTGGTACGCTATAAGGACCTTGATAAGACTATACGCCAGGTGTTGTCGGACTCCAGCTCCCCAGCCAACGTGATCATGGATGATGGGAGTTGTAGTCAAGCAGCAATTGGACTGCCAGGCACATGTTCCCCTTCCCTACTATACTCTAGCTGTTGCTCTCTTGTTGAACTGTTTTCTGTATTATCACTGTTAATTAGAGAAGTGGAGACCATGTGACTAGGCAGTTTATACAACACAACCCACCCTTCTTTGTAAAAGCATTGTTGCTTCTCTTCAGTGTCCCCAAAATTCTTTTCCATCACCCATATGTATTTGAAAACCAAAGTCATGATGGATTGATGTTTGTGCAGCCACAAAATCTGGCCTTCAGAAATATTCAATATTTCTTCAAAGTACTCAGAGTTCAGTTGGCAGACCCAGGTGAACTGTTATGACAATTTAGCAATGGACTTCAATGAGAAACTACCAAATTTGCAGTTTTCAAACTAATAAGTGAACCTGATGCACTTCTCTGAAATTTGCAATGCAGTTTTTCAACCAAACATTATATACCAAAATGAATATATTAGTGGGGGATATATGTGGACTTATATATTAATGAAAATATCATATAAAACTGGATTTTAAAAAGGGTTTATTAGGGGAAATCAACACTAAAATATTGAAGAATTTTCGCACTACAGAAATGTGGGGAGCTGAGTTTACGATTGGAAAAATGAGTAAGCTGGAGAAATGAAATTGACAGCTTTGCACATCCTATGTGACACCAGGAGTTGTACCAGAAGCAAACCCCTATTCCTGTTTTAATTGCAAACAATCATTTTGCACAATTGGTTAGTATTGTTTTCTATGACTAGAAAACAAGAAAAATTAATGCAAGAACTCCTCTTGTAATATATATGAAATACCAGTGCAGAAAAGGTAAATTATTATTCTTTGAAAACGGGAAACAAAACAGTAATCCAGACAGACTGCACTGACAGCTTGTACCACAAACATCCACTTGGGAGTAAGTCCCATTGATTCCAATGGAGCTTTCTTCCAAGTGAGTGCGCTCATCAGCCTCGGTGTCTCCTCCAAGATTTCCTAGCATGGTACAACTTTTTAGCAAATTAAAGTCTGCGTCAAGGCTTAAAATTAAATCCAAACCTCTTCTGTTTTCTCAGCAGAAGGAACAAATTGGCACCACATGGCAGTAGTCAAGGAGTGCTGATGGGAAACAGAGTGAGGCAGGAGTCTTCCAACCTGGAAGGCGTCACTAGTCAAAATCGAGGGATAAGAAACAGTCCCTTCCACTTAGAGCTCAATGTACAAAGGTTTTGAGATTATTATTATTATTTAAAAGAAGATTAAATATCAGATCACTGTTTTCTGTGCCATGCAGAGCTGTTATAGTGCCAACACTTCAGGATTATTATTTTTTTAAAGAACATAAGCACAATATGGAACTTTTACTTCAGTTCAGTTGCATTTGGTAAAAGATCCAAAGTCTTTGCAGAACCATCAGTTGGGAGTGGGGGAAGATGAAGCTATCCTCCTTTTTCTTTTCTTTTTTAACAGAGGTTTTAAAAAGCAAGAATTCTGTTATTTTTCTGCAAAAATGTTTGCTGGCTAAAAATCACACCTGCACTGAATGCTCACTACTTTGTATATTAACTTTGTTGTTGTTGTTGTTGTTGTCATTGTTTAGTCATTTAGTCGTGTCTGACTCTTCATGACCCCATGGACCAGAGCACGCCAGGCACTCCTGTCTTCCACTGCCTCCTGCAGCTTGGTCAAACTCATGTTCATAGCTTCAAGAACACTCTCCAACCATCTCGTCCTCTGTCGTCCCCTTCTCCTTGTGCCCTCAATCTTTCCCAGCATCAGGGTCTTTTCCAGGGAGTCTTCTCTTCTCATGATGTGGCCAAAGTATTGGAGCCTCAGCTTCAGGATCTGTCCTTCCAGTGAGCACTCAGGGCCAATTTCCTTAAGAATGGATAGGTTTGATCTTCTTGCAGTCCATGGGACTCTCAAGAATCTCCTCCAGCACCATAATTCAAAAGCATCAATTCTTCCGTGATCAGCCTTCTTTATGATTAACTATAAATTATATATATAGTTAATATATATATTAGCTTTACATTTAGCTTATTTGATGCAGCCAAACAAGTTTGCTACAATACTCACCTTGCTAGAAATGTGTACTGTGTCAATCTGTTTAATGCTCTCATTTTGCAAGGTGGCTGCTTTTTTCCTGGACGATTGCCCCTTCTCTTTTTTTGCCTTTCCTGTCCTCAGACTCATTTGCCCTCCATTCCATTTAATCAGATTGGCTGAGAAGAGCCACATGATTTTGCCGATGGTTTAACGATGCTACAGCTGATGGGATAGTGTTATAGATGCCCATAGACAAAATCAAATGAAAGCAAATGGAGACAAGGGAGAAGGAAAACAGTGCAGAGGAGAATCATCATCAGCAACAAGGCACTAAAACCACTGAAATGATGCGGCGATGTTCACAACTTCTGTCAAATAAATTGCCGAAGATGGGAGACAGTTTTTGACAGTCATGAAAACAAGCACACACAAAATAAGTGGGTAGTTTTGGCTCAGGCTTACTAACCATAGCTCATTTTAAGATTCGATTGTGTTTCTAGTTCAGCACACAGGAAACAAAACAGTGGAAGTAATCACTGAAGATGCAACATCCTGTATTTCAGACTGAAGAGCAATCTTGGAAATGTTTCATACAAAAAAACCATCTACTTGCTTGCCCATTAGGGCATTTCATGCTGAGGGTCTGTGATTGTCAAGCAAGCACCATAAATCAGTCTCCCACATGTAGGGACTGTGTTTATGCCACAATAAATGCAATGGTAGCCTAAATCCATACAGATCTGTGCAGTCAATCCAATTCAGATTAGTGACCCCCAGAACAAAACCTGCATATTAACTGTTCCTGCATCCTAGAGGTGCATTCTTCCACCACTTAATAATAGTCACCAGGAGAAGATGCCATATGGACACAGCTTGAGTAGGCCTGACAACCATTCCCTGGGGACTTTATGCCTCCCAATGCTTCTCTAGTCCCATTTCAAAATGTGCTTTATTAAAGCAGACTGGAAACTGGTTGAAAATGCAGGCCTTTATCATGCAGTAGTGTTCAGAAACAAGCATGAGGTTTGCGTGTTGCAGAGTTCTTGGAACCTCATCATAGTCTTCTATTCATTTCCAACCTTACTGACACCGAACAGAAGATCATTCATATCCATTTCCTAGATGATTCCTTGGATGCCTTTGCAAAGCACATGTGGGGAAAGGTAACATTAGCAGTGACCCCAATTTAAAGTTGGTCAGTTCGCTATATTCATCTTATATCCAAAATACATGATAAATGCTTCAAAACCAGTGGGTTGTTAAAAGAGATGGGGGGGGGTAAAATGTTGAGGTGGTTATACCAAGAAAAGGAAGCAGCCCATTCCTGTATATGCCATGGATGAAATGGTAAGCATGGATCCCGTACTAACTACAGGGTGCTTACTTTCCTTCAACGATAATTGTCTTAATGC